TATATATTCTAGATATTTGATGTAGTTTCAATACTCATTTTCAGCAGTTTCGATACACCCCTACCGGCTGCTCTTTCTCACTCTCTTACTGTTAAAGGTCCCGTATTGTGAAGTCATATTTCATGTCTTTTTAAAAATAAAGCAAGCATAGGTGCTACGCTCAGTCCAGAGAGAAATGCACACACTTCATGATCAGAAACTGAACCTTAAAATGAGCCGTCAGGATTTCTGTGAATTTATGTCATAAGTATACTATGTACACCATACAAAACAAACATTTCAAGCAGGTCCTTTTGTTTTTCTTGTTGGTATGTTTCGCGAATGTGAATGAAATCAGCTGACAGGACGTAAACATGGACCTAAGCCATTGCCTAGCAATGCTATTCCAGTGAAATGGCATATGGAGATGGACTGACAGAGCATTTCAGACACCGGGGGATTACAGGTAGAGTTGTACCAATACCAGTATCGGAAATGCCTCCGATACTGCCTAAAATGCGGCATCGGCGAGTACAGCCTTTGACCAAGCCGATACCAAGTAATGCCTCAGGTCATTACGCATACGCACGCTATCGTTTGAACATAGCCATCTCGATGTGCGCTTTTGCGTTAGTCACATCGCAGGACTTGCGATGTTTTCTCTGTTTTTAGAACTTGTTAACTTATGTTTTGCTTCAGAAAAGCAGCTCTGATGCTCCGCTCGTTGCTCCGCTGCGCTCGCCCCTCTCTCTCTCTCTCTCTCTCTCTCTCTCTCTCTCTCTCCCTCTCTGACAACAGCAGCCCCTCCCCCTCTCATGCACACGCTGCAGTCACACACTGAAAATGAGTGACATGCAAGAGGGAGAAACGGTAAAGGAGGATTTATGCCTGGTACACACTACACGACATTTCTGCCTGTTCTGAAAGTCACTATGTCACATTACATGACTGTGGAGTCATAAAATCGTTCGGTGACTTGGCCGACAGACCTGACACACTACATGATGGTACACACCAATTATCCCCGGTCATCTTTCACGATGTGTGTGATGTCATCGGGTTATTCTTGTCCTATTTTTATTACTTTTACCATTATTTGAGTCACTGTGTCTGTTCATGTGCCAGCCGAAATGTTGTTGTAGTCACTTAAAAAGCACCAGCAGATGGCAAGAGCTACATCTGAAGTACCATATGTAAACACCAATGTCACTGATTTCTCCACAACAAGTTCCTGCAAATGTTTCACAATAAAAGCCTATTTAGAAAATGGAGGGATTCTCTCAGCTGAGGTTATAAGGGGCTTTTAATTTCAAATAAGTTCAGCTGATGTTGAGTTCGAAATGACGGCGTCATGCATTATATCAAGGCAACGGGAGTGGATAAAAAGTAAAAATATAAACATACAGAGGGAATGATAAATAACTGCCCTTTTATAGTCTGTTTCAAATGAAGCTGGTAGCCTCTGCAGTTGTGGTGAGTAAAAGCCCCGCCACTATTTTTTAATTTTCTTACTTTAAGTCATCTGGTGAAAATTCTTGTATTTTTTAATATTGCAATATATATTGAATTTTTTTTTTTTTAAAAAAATCGCAATGTCAGTTTTTTACAATATCGTGCAGCCCTACATTCTACTGTAGCCTTTAAAATGTTTTTTTTTACCAAATTGTGTGGCTGCACTTTAACCTGTGTCTTGATTTGTGTCAACACAAAAAGTTTTATGGCATTCATTCTACTATTATGTATTTATTTCTTAATATTTTACAGAGTTTTAGGAGTTGAGACATACAACAATTCATATCCCATCCATATTTATTTTACGTGCTGGTATTGGATCGGTACTCTGTATCTGCAGACAGGGTCCAAAACTAACACTCGCCACTCGCCAATTACGGGTAGATTTTGTCTCTGGCTGGTAAATTTTTAAGACCACTCGCCACTCTGGCGAGTTATTTTTTTACCAGCGAAAAATGCATTTTTGTTACTGTAGAACGGTGCTGGTATCGGCTGGTTTCCTGGCAGAGTAATGTGTATTTCAGGCAGAGACGATCTTTGGTCACGTAACGCCAGGGCCGCCCGCAGAAGCGCTGTGAATAGCCTCGAAGCACCGAGAAGTGAAGCCAGTTTCCTTTCGGCGCCCACGTTATCCAATTGTGTCATCCACACCGGCTGCGGAGCTGCCCTGCAGTGATCGTTTCGGCGTCTGGTCTATTTTCTGCGCGAGCGAATGTGTCAAGCTGTGCAGTTACCCATGATGGAAAAACAGCCCCAAATGTGACAGAGACAACAGTTGGGAGCAGAACCGCTTGTCGACCGGCGTGGAGAAATGCGCATCTGATGTGAACGGGCTTACGCGAGAATTTCGGTGCGCTGCGATCGCTGCCAAAACGTACCTGAACAGCCGAGCACACAGGTATGTGTTGTGTCAGAGGAGAAACAAACCGTTCACATTTCTCTCTTTGTGGCAGGTAACCATCCACAAACCTCACCGCACTTTAGGGACTGTTCTTTACTTATGAAGGGACTGTTCTTTACTTGTATGTTAATCAGTTGGTGCTGTTTCACTTAAGTAAAAAAAAAATGACTGAACAACTTTCACTTGTATTGGAGTAATATTTGACCAGGAGTATCTTTACTTTCACTCAAGTCATGTCGTTGAATACTTTGTCCACCACTGGTCAGACATTCATGTTTATATAGGGCAGGACCTGCTGTTGCAGTCTGGTCGAGCTAAAATGTTATGTCTCAACTGTCCAAAGGAGACTGAAGTCAATGATTCATGTAAAATTCCCTAATGAAAGATTATTTTTGCACTGTAGTAAGAATACTACAGAATTTATTAACCCAAATATTACACTTAACTGTTGAAACAGTTATTCATATTTTAGCATACATTATTACTAATATTAGTGCACACTATTAAAATATTGATTGAGAATCGCATACAAGACCCAAATGACATGCTAAATAATACTGATAGCAAATTACAACACTTAAAAGCAATTTTCATTTGGTTGGCTGGTAAAATATCTGCCTGGCTGGTAAAAAATTTCACTTACCAGCCAGCCTGGCTGGTAAGTGAAATTTGCAGGGATCGGAATCGGTATCTGGAAAGAAAAAGTGGTATCGGTACATCTCTAATTACAGGTATATTCTGGCAGACAGTATGACAAAAATAATGTGTTTTTTGTTCTAGTAGCAACCCAAAACATGAGTATGAACCTGAACATGAGTATAATGTGGGCCCTTTAATGCTTATTACCTTCATTTTGCTCTCTGCTACTAACAAAGAAAAGTTGTCATTGCCATGTTATATCCTTGATATATTTATCTTTTAATCAAACTTTCAACGTCAAATTTTCCCATGGTATCAAAAATGGTTTTGAATATTGATATTTTACATTGTGTTGTATCAATGCTAGATATTCCAGTATCATGAAACTACTGGCAAATAAAGCTGAAATCAACTTTTTAATATTTATTTATTATTATTTATTTATTTCATGATGTCTTATTCCATGTGACTGATTGTGAATTATGGAAGAGGCTTCAGTCTGAAGAGGGGTCAGGTTGAGGTTCTCTTGCCGTCATTCTCTTGTTGAGCAGACAGAGCAGTGTCCTGCTCTACGTTTTCTCTATATGGACTGTCATGCTGTCAGCTTAAAAGAATGACATATACACTGCATCTTAACTGTGGAATTAAGCTTACTGCAGTTTAGGTTAGACAGCTGGATTTCAATTATGGTACAGATGTTAATGGTCTCAGATTGACCAGAGCGACAGCCCAATCTCAGACATAAAAGACCTCTTCTGTATGGAAGCATCAGACCCTTGGTTATGTTACAGCAATTGGTGGTCCAACTGTCATCTTACAAGCAACACAAGTATTAATTGTTAAAATATTGAGAAGTTGGCCGTTGGTTGAAAAATAAAAAAAGGGCTCCTACTGGCAAATGCCGTTCTTTGCTTGCCCCCACGTCATCCACTACAGCATGTAAAAGGAAGCAACACGAGTAAAATTAACTGATACTATTAGCGTTAAAAGACGCCAATCAGTTACTAGAATAAAAGAAAATGTTACTTACAGTTTCTAATGTCCGAAATGAAAACGGCTAATCCGCGCATTCCATCTCCTTTCGACACAGCCGGCATTTTTGCAGGTTTCTGTCCTCACTCCGGCCTTATCCGTAAAAATGAACTGACGTCGGTCAGCTTTTAACACTGGGCTGGAGTGGAAGATGGCCAACTTGACGTTCAGTGGTAGCTAGCTACTTCGCAGTTCCTGCCGTTCACTACAACTTTAAGATTGACTGTTGCCTACCAAGGTAACTGTAAGCTTGTGGGTGGCTAGCTCGGATCGCATTTGCTAGATTAGCTGGATGGCGGTGGATCAACCAGCAGCAGGATAAGTTAACGTTATCCCTGTTAACTGGCTCGTTTCCGCTGGCTATGGCAAGCTAACGTTATTTCATTCAATCCCTATTTAGCTAGGATTAGAAGCAACGCGCACAACACCTAGAGTAACAATACACTGAGGTTAAGACCACCAGCTGTTCGGATGTCTCTCAGGTAAATGCAGTCAGATGTGTTAATGAAAACAACGCCCGAGAATATAACGTTAAGTTACTTCGAGTCAAGCACCGCAAAGCTAGCTTAACAGCTAGCTAGCTAGCTGGCTAGCAATATCATTCAAATACTGGAATACATCACCAGTTGACCGGAATAGCACAGTAGACGGTCCTAATAGCCAACCAGCGATATGAAATGATAGCCCGGCTCTCTTTATCACGCACTAAAGTTGGTTGATAAAATATGCTGTATAATTTATGTCCGTTCTAATGCTCTAGCCTCCACTCCGCGGCTTGGATAAGGCTCGTGACAGCAGATCCAACAGCGTGACCGCGCGACGCACCCATGTACGCGCACGCTCCTTTCCTGACTGAGTGCAGCACAGCGCTGATTGGCCCAGCTCGCAGCGGTACTGACATTCGTGACATCAGCCCAAATCTCCTGTGCCCAAAACTGCCTGCTCAGACACGAAAACCTGGCTTGTCAAATAATTTTTGAAGCAAGGGACTTCTGTTTTTTATTTTGGCTTTGGCATACTAACGATTGTATTTTGTATTTATTTTACAGCTGATTTTTTAAAGAAAACATGCCTTGCGGGTTTGGAAGGCATACATTCTTTAAAACTCGCTAAAATTATTTCATTTATCATAGAAACTGTAAAAACAGAAATTGTTATGTTTTCAAATTTCCAGTGGTCCTGAGACACATCATGTGTGAAGAAAAAGTAAACAAACAAACAAATCTGACCTTAAGGAGGAACAATACATTTACATGAATATTTGTTTTGTTCTCTTAAGAACAGCTCCTATGACAGTTATATGTTGTATATGTTGCTGGTATCTTTAATTCCTTCCAACTAAAATTCTGAATATTACTTGCAACCTCCTAGGCTTTAAAATGAAGCCAAAGCAGAAGGGCCAAAAACTGCAGTTCTTTGAATGTCCACTTGAGGCTGGCTCCAGAAGCCGGTCAGTCCTCATAAATGGATGTTTTATAAACATGTTTACAGCCTAGTAAAAATGGTAATGGGTCCTGTAGCTAATTTCCCCGTTCCTTACAACTGAATTGGGAATGATTTTTTTTATATAACTCACCTGTTTACATTTTATTAAGGCTTAGAGTTCTGCATAATTGATGGCAGACTGCTTTGAGTGACAGGCTGTCTGCTGATAGTGACCTTCTCTGTCAGTTCCACCCCTCAATCCCCCACAGCTCCACCCTCTTGCCCAAATATGGTCACTTCTGGCTCCAAAAAACAAGATGGCAATGGCTGAAATACAGAAGTTGAGCCTTCAAAATGGGAGTCCTCAAACCAATAGGTGTCATCACAGTAGCTACGTCCATTATTTATACAGTCTATGGTCACTTTTCCGAATACAAACAATTTAAACAAATAATTTAAAAAGTTCACCCACCACCAACCCATCCGTTAATCAGAATGTTATTTTTTTATAGCCCAACCTGTCTGACGCCTGTCTTAATTGTTGTGCCTGCAGATATACCTGCAATCCATGCATCACTACATGCAAAAATGATCAGATACTGTTTGTAAACTGTATTACCAACAAATGTGAAAATGAATATTAACTCCAGATTCACTCTTGTTTTGAAATGAGCTCTGTCCGCTTGGTGTTTCACCTCACTATATTTGCCTATTGTTGTTGTTGTTGTTGTTGTTTTCTCTGCTATGTCTGTGATTTTCACAGCTGCCTCTTGGATGCATGCTGCATACAGTCTGACTCCTGGCACCTATACCTTTTCTATCCAGTCCCAACCTCATGTGCACTGTGCCCATAAATATCCTGACCACAGCAAAATAAGAAGAAAATAATCAAATCCAGGCTGAGGGCAGAGTCTCTGCAGATAAATATACCCCCATACTTTGAGTGGGTCAATAATGATGATTGAGAGGGATCACTTTAGTAGAAGTCTATATGTTGTTTTTAAGGAAATTCCCGCATAGTATACATTTGAGTAGGTTATTGTGTGTAGAAAAACGACAAAATTAAGTATACTTGCACCAGACAGAATGCAAACTAAAAACAGTTCATTTTGAAGTGTGCTGTTGATGCACACTATTCTGCCAGCATACAAATACAGGTAGTCCAGTTATCAGTGAAAGCTGGTAAGTTGGTTGGAGCAGACGGAAGATTTTGTGAATAGTCATCCGGTTGGAGAGTGAGGCGAGCAAAGGCGGGTTGCATGCAAACTTTACTGTACGTAACGCAATTGGTGATCATTCTGAGTGAGGCGAGTGGCTGTCAAAGATGGAGTTTGGCCAAACAAAACTTGCAAGGAAACATTCATGGTCTGAATAAAGAAGTGGAGGAGAGTACAGACTAAGGCCTACCCCCCAAACAATAGACCTAATTACAAAGGTGGCACTGATTATTTTGACAAACAGGAGGAATGGAAAGTCATTATTACACTCAAAAATTATAGGCCACTTCCATGCAGTCCAGGTGACTAAAGCAAAAGAGAAGAGAATAGGAAAAAATGATATATGCTGAGTAATAGAAGAATTCTAACCTCAGCAACAAAGAAGAAGCAGCAATAACAGGAATAACATCAAAGCTGCGAGGTGTGATTTCAAGTGTACCACTGGAAATGTCCATGGAAGAGGTGAAGAGGATGAGATCCCAGGTGGAAAGGTGATAGAGGCCGAATAACTCCAAGCTAATAAATATAGTGTCTACTCTTGCAGCTTGTCAGTCTTGGTTGTACTTTAAAAAGATAATATCCTGTGAGCTAAAAATCTTGATTACTTACAAAGTGACAAAATTAATTTAACAGCCATTAAGGTGCTTGAAGTGTCAAAGATTGGAACATACAGCACAACAAAGTAAAGGGAAGCAAACATGTACAAAATGTGGAGGTCAGCATGATTATGGCAAATGTAATTAGGATGCTAGACTGAACTGTGTCAATTTTGGAGGTGAGCATAGCGCTGCCAGTGATGGATTTTGAGTTTGCCACGTAACTTAAGGGTTAACTCTGGGTTTTCATAATACAAAGCTGGTTCTCTTTTTACCAGGATAAATCACTGTGGTAACTTATGCTGAACAGCTAACCTGCTCCAGAGCAGCCTGTCAACACTCAGACCTCTGACCAATTAGATCACTGAAGACAAAAAGTATCCATGGACAAAAGTCCTGAGTGACAGGTAAAAAGAGTAGCATATATATTGTTATAGGCCAGTAGAATCATTTCGTTGTTGCAAGGCTCTATTTCCACTGGTTTTAAAACAGAACTTTTCACAAAAGGAGAGATTGTAAACACATGATTTTAGCAGGATTTTATGCAAAGTTTATTTTAATCTGCAGTGATAATGTTGCTATTTTACACTCTAAATCCATCACTGCAGCTCCAAATAACACAAGACACCTGAGCAATGAGAACTAGGAAAAAGGATAATATTTAATTAGAAAACTAATCCAGACACTGTAAATTGGCTCCTGTTAGTGTAAATGCAACATTTTGGTCAGATAAACCTCATCAGTCATTAACTAGGCTACTTTTCCACCCTTTACTTCTGCAACATAAATAGTCGTGCATTACTTTAGAGTGTTTTATGTCCAACTAAATAGTAAAAATAGCCTATAATACTGTCACATATAGCTCAGTGATCCTTACACATAATGTAAGTCTCTGCTGATGGTGAATTTTCAGTGTTTCTACATTTTCCGTTATAAAATTACAGATTGTTGTTTACATCCTACACCACTGACATTTTACTGTCTCACCGTCCCAGACACTTTCTGTACCATTTCATCTCATATGATATGAAGTAGCCTACTTCATTTATGGTTCTGATGATGTCGCTAATAATTAACACCCCCACCCCTTTCACATGAACACACTCATGGCTGGATAGGAAAATCCAGAGCTGACTGAACTACTTGATAACCGGCTTTGTAGTACCGGTTACCTAGACAGCCAATGTTAGGGTCAAGCCAGATAATCAAAGGACATCCTGGTTAAGCTGAACTGGTTTTATAGTACAGGCACCTGGTATTAACATGCTTCTGTGATCCAAACACAAGTGGACTGCCATGACACATTGCATTCACACCTGGGTCTGTCATATGTCTCCAGCCACTTGTTTAGATTTTGCTACTGCCTAGGTCACTCATGCTAGAAGGTCAAAGGGCCCCGTGCACAGTTATTACACCCTCACTCTCTTGATCTACTCACTAGCATGTTCACTCATGTTAGCGGTTGTGTTGGCACAGCTGGAGATATTGCTGTAAGCAGAATTTCATGTCTTCTTCCACAGTGCAAAATGATGGAAGGTCATTAGCATCACCAAAATAACCCCCACGCCCGGCATTGATGACATAGTCCTTGTCAGGGACGCATTAGGACACATTAATGTTTACACTACAGAATATATGTGGTCAAATGTGTCCCAGACCACCTCAGCAAGTGGTTAGAGTGATCAGATCACAATGCCTCTTGGTGGCTGTTGACACTTGTATTTAGAGCTGTCCACTTGTGATTGGATCACCAAGACAGATCAAGAAATACATGTAATGTTGATGAGAAATAATGATGTTCTCAGTATGCTATTTAAATTCATAATGTCATTCTATCTTTGTAATGGAATGCTAGAGGTCTTGTTGCAAATGGCCAAGAATTTCAAAGGTTTATAACAGATTCAGAAGTGGTCCTCTACTTGATTTTACCTGGGTATGAGTCCTTAAGATGTGATAGAGGGGAGAACCAAGGTGAAGGGTGTGCAACATTTATAAAACAGGGAGGAGCATTCAGAAGAGGAGCAACCTCAACAGAAATGGAATGTGTAGTTACTGAAAAATGTAAAACAGACAAGAACTGTATAACAGTGAACTAATAAAACCCTTGACATCAGTGGTGTAGTGACAGTTGATAATGTGGGTATACGACTAGGGAGACAGGTAGGTTACCACAGACCATGTATAACCACACCAGCTCAGGACCTCCACATCCAGCATCTTCACCTGCAAGATCATCTGAGACCAGCCACCCGTGCAGCTGATGTAACAAACGGTTTGCGCAACCAAAGAATTTCTGCACAAACTGTCAAAAAACAATCTCAGGGAAGCTCATCTGCATGCTCATCATTCTCACCGGGGTCTTGACCTGACTTTGTTACTGACATGTGCGGCTGTGAGACTGGTTGGATGTTCTGCCAAATTCAGGGAAACAACATTGGAAATGGCTTATGGAAGTGAAATGTACATTCAGTTAACAGGCAACAGCTTTGGTGAACATCCCTGCAGTCAGCATGCCAATGGCATGCTCCCTCAAAACTTCTGTAGCACTGTATTGTGTGATCAAACTGCTGTTTAATCAGCATCTTGATATCCA